GTAGGGAAATAGTGCAAGTAGAGCAAAACAAACTATAAACAAAGGAGATTTAGATTTTTATATGTTCTACCATGCAAAGTTTCTGCATGTATCTGATCCCATTGCACATGCAGGTTTGGTTCCAATGTGTTAAGTTAGATTAACTTAAATTTCCTTAGGGGAAACCAAACTACATTCTGCATCTTAAACAAATAAACACACCTCTGAAGTATCCTGACTCCATGAATATTCTCGTACATATGCAGCAGGGACAAAAAATGGTCTCTCAGAAGAACTCCGGATCACCTGCCACCAATCTGCATTTGTTTTCTTGATTAAAAATAATTTTTCACCTTCTTGTATCCGTATCTTCCGTTCATCCTTCCCTACATATTCAAAATCATACAACACCCGCAACTGTATGTCTGAGAAGTCTTCTGACATTATGTGAAGGAGGCAAAGTTTAATTTTAAATTAACATGTTCTTACAACTGATGAATCCTGTAAAACAAATATTCCACCTTCACCTGCAACAAGAGAGGCGAATCTGAAATAAGTAATGGCAATGTAATTTGCATTCAAAAGGCTTCTCACATTTGTATCCTTAACATGTTTTCACAACTGAATGATTATTAAAAGGCATTAAACTTAAAAATTCTTCAATGACAAACTTTCTGATCATCAGAAACTATACATATCATACATGAAACAAGAACACAATAGATCTTACATAAAATTCGTGTGAAAACTAACTCATAACAGCAAAGATATACCGACATTGGAATTAATAAAATGTAGGTTACCAACTCTGGTTGCCAAACTCCCATATACATCTGGCCTTGAATGAACAGCACACATTTCACACAATTAAAACTAGATTACGTAAACACGTTAATCACACGAGAAGAGCATATACTAGTGTTCATAGCCCTCATTTCCAAACCTTGTTCGCCTACTACACCCAATCGACTACCTGTGGAATGTGCAAAATCTGTTGAACAAAATATAAATAAAGCAGCCATACATACAAGTCGCTCTGACGGCAGACAACCTACCCAAGGTTTCGACTTTCTCCTACTATGACAGGACGCGGGACATTTAAAACACTTCCTCCATGGTACGTTGCTACGCAAATACATGATCCCATTCCTTCAGACTGCTTTCCAAAAATTAAGCAAAATGCACATTTTCTTACTGGCATCACAATTTCATAATTAGGATCCATGTTAAACATCTCTAATTATAAAACCGGCTTCTGACGTATGGGTAACCACAAAATTAGTCGGAACGATTCATAACGTAAGCGGTAGTGATAAATAACTCCAAATGCATATTTCTGAATAGTGATAATCTGTGTTATAACGCTATGTACGGTAGACCTATAAATGTTTACCAAGTTTTATTGAGACATGTTTGATGGGTCAGGGAGGGCATATGAAATTATGAAGATGAGGTCATGGAGATTATAAGAGGTCACGGAGGTCAGATCAGGTGATGACACTTACGTTCAATAGGACGAGGTCATGTAAGGCTAGGTGTTAGGTGTCTTCGTGTGGACAGATGAGGTTCAGGAGCTCAGGTGACGTTTGGGAGGACAGGATAGGATTGGGACAGGGAGGTTAAAAGAGTTGAGGAAGGTCAGATTAGAGGTTATGTTTATATACACAAACCATTACATAATACCACAAAACGGTTCAAAACCACGTAAAGCAACATTCTAAAGTATAAACACAATGAAGAACCTACTTCACAATGTTCTGACACTTTATGAATGTAAAAGTACGATAATCTATAAACACATGTTGGGAATTCTCCATGTAATCTTATGTCATTGTTGCATTAATGTGATGGGGATACCTGTTAAATAATAACAATAGTAACAGCAATGATAGCAATAAGAATAACAAAAACAATTATCTCTGGGTCCATTGTTGTTCAAAATGTGACAGACAGACATGGATGAACCCTGAAAGTGTTCTCTCACACCACAGTGTCAAGAAATAAAAATTAATTCAATTAATACTTTGAGCATATTATTTATTTCAGTTGCATATGTTTTCATAGGAATGAAAACAATCATGATCCTCAAACCAACACCCAAGTCTCTCACTGAGCATGACACAGTTAATATTGATTTTCTGAGTCTCCCACAACCTCTACAAACAACCATCTTCTCACACTGATCTCTTTGATACTCTGAACCAGTCATGCTTGTACTTGAAATAATTATTACATCACACAGTTTTCACGCTTCCATGATCTATTAGGTGTGATGTGAATTTTTTGAACATGCCTGTGGCCTTAAAGGTAATGTATCATAACCTGTTATATTGAAAGATTTGACTGTTTCTCTCATACAAAATGCAGTGTGCATGTGCATGTGTGGGTGTGAGTGTATATGTGTACAGGTCAATTAAATGGACTCATATGCAAAATTAAGCTAATGCAGGCAGCCCATATCCAATCACTTTGTAGTCTGGGTATCTGTACATGTGTTTGTGTGATTCTTGGCTTTTTCAACAATGTTTTATCAATTGCAGAGATTCTGTATTGTGTCAAGGTTATTCAAGGTGATTATAAAATGAACAAATTAAGAAACACTGGAGATTAATTATGTAGAATATTTATTTCCATGGTTTATGTAACAACACTGGTATCTGTTTAGATTAAATACTGTATGATATTTATTGATAATGTCAGGATAATTTAATTGTCAATGGTAAGATGAGTAACATCTGGAGGAATGAGGCAGTGGTCTACTTTAAAATACAATCTTGGAATTTATGCATGGAGATCAAAAACCAACAGAAGTGCTAATCACTACACTATGACTTTGTGTCTCAATGTTATACGAAATATTCTTCTAAGAAGTCTGGTGCGGTATCACATCACCACGGAGGATTCCCCAGATTACTGCGCAGGTGGCTGGAGATTCCCCATGCTGACAGTTGTCGATTTTAACCAAAATTATCATTTGACGACAAATTTTATAAAAACTCCTCAGCAAAAATTGTTCTGCGGTTCTTATGTTATTATGTGTGGATAGACTGGTGGAAAGAAAGATAATGAAGCCAATAGGTGCATTTTTGCAGCTTTTGGTTGAGAAGGACCCTCAACAATCATCTGCATTCCAGGAGGATGTGTACCAGGATTTAGTGGGTGGCGTTTGATTTGATGTACCTGTTTTTTTAAACCCTCTCTTTTGGCGTTTGGTTTGATGTATCTGTTTATTTAAACCCTCTCTTTACATACATGCATTTCACTTTTCGAAAGAATAGGTCACAGATGACTACCCAAGCGAGCTACTGACCTGAAGCGGAAACAAGGTAATATTTTAGTGAAAGTATGGAATATGTCCTTCAGAAACGGTGGATTCGCACCTAGAAAATAAGCTCAGCGTGAACGCTATTGACTTGCATTGGGCAGTTACCCGTTCGAGACTCGGTCAAGACATCGGTGTCCTGATTCGGGTTTTGTATGTTTCCTCCAGCATTTCTGGGCGTGCCATTACAGATTCCTTATCCCCTCCCTTTCCTTTAATCGCACAGGTTTTTCGTGGTCTTTCTGCGTTCTCACGAGATTTACCTTCAAGTAGGCCATAGCCGTTTCCTTTCACACTCTTCCCATTCTTCGCTAAATAAAATAGCAAATAATGGGGCAGATCCTTAAATAGGCTACTGCTATTTCCTTCCATGTCTACTTATCAATCACAATCATCATACTTCAAACATATGCCACTCTTACTCTGTGGTAATGCGATTTTTGGTGTGGCTATTGTCAGTTCATTGCCCTAAGTCTACACACTCTCAGGGTGAAATACATTCCTGTGGATGTTTGCATAATTCCCAGAAGTTTTGTCATCATCAGAGTGGATTAATAATTACTTATATTCTGTGTGATTTCTGTATTTCTTAGAACTGCATAACAAATTACATTATCCTGTGAGTATATTGAAGATGTTACCAAATCTAGTGAACAGAAGTTATATCATATCTAGTGATCTTCAGATGGTATTTCAGGTAATAAATCAAATCTTGCGATATTAAATCCAGTGAGTGTGAGTGTACTGATAATGATGCAGCATGTCTGTTACACTATCAGACACTTCAGGTAACAGTTTTCATTTCAGTAAATGCCTCTTTACTTTACATATACTTTCCTTCAAGCAATGATAAACACGTACAAGACAACAGCAGCATCATAATCCTTTTATCTTATTTGTGCTCAGGAAAATGTATCAACCTAAGAGATGAAATGTAGCGTGTAATTCAGAATACTGCATAACAAGTGATTTAATGATTTCAAGTAAAAATTAATGCTACACATAGTTAATACTGTCCTGTATACAGTTAATACCACAATATTCTGTTTTATAATATAGTATATGTTATTACTGGAGAAAAATTAGAGAGTTATATTATAATATTTCAATTGACATGTTGTGATAACTCTAGTAAAACCTAGGAGGCTACAGTGAGAAGGAAATGCAACTCAGTTTGTGGGAAACAAAAAAGTACACAGAATTTTTGGTGAGAATACCTCTTAGGAATCAACTACTTTCAAGACCAAGCAGGAGATGGAAGTGTATAATTAAGACATCTTAAAGAAATAGGTGATTGTGAGATTCATATATGGGTGTAACAGGATTATGTCTGGTGGTGGCATGGTACTGATTAGCAATGTCGGTCCTTAAGATTCCATTATTGTACTGTTAGTTAGTTGGTTAGTTACTTAAATAATGTTGCACATTTCAGAATTTCCCTCATGACTGGTAACTGCAATGAAGCCCAAGTCTGTCGATAAGCCATTGCACCTGAATCTTTACAACTTTAATGCACTAGCTGCTCAAGACTCTCCATATGTTCTGACAAGCCCACGCTCCTTGCAAGCATGCCGCAAAGCTGGCTACAAGGTGAGGTATTACTTCAACAAGTAGTTAGGAAATGGCATAACAATTCTGAAATATTTGTTAGAATTTTATCTTTAACCGTTGACCTCTGTGAATAATCACCCAGTCATTTCTATGTGAAATTATGCATTAAGTCTTCACATAAATTGCTCATTATTGTTGTTTGATCTTAACCAAAATTGGAATGTGTCAACATATTTTAGTAAAACACCCCATTATCAATTCTGTGGAAACCATTCAGCTGTTCTTGCATTGGTATGTCCATATATATGGAAAGATGGAGAGACAGTGATTTTAACAGGTGCTCTGCAGGTTTTTTGAACATGCCTAAAAGTACATCAGAGATTGCCCACTGACCAAGACATATTGAAACAATGTTTCAGAAGATGGTTGTATTCCCATCTTCATGTAAAATTTTGTTATAATGATAATTAAGCTAAAAGTAAAGTTATTCCCATGCCCAAGCTGTATAAGTAATGTGTCACATATTCTAGATATTGGCATTAGATGGAAATGAGTGGTAGCTTCATGCTTCAATCAATAACCCCAGGCAAAATAACACTTTGTAGCCATTAATTAAAAGGCTGGGTTGGTCCCAGATGTGATGAGATGACAAAGAGAAAAGTTCCTGCTCCTGCCAAGTTTTAACCTCATTTGTTCTCAGATTATTTTACTCTGTATCCCAAAGATTCAAAATTTAATATTTTCTTCACTTATTCTTCTTGTATACAGTAATCTCTTACATATTTGTGTGTACATTATTTCTACTACGTTTCTGGCTTTTACTTTATTTATTTTATATTACATGCCTGAGTTGTCATACAGATTATTTTATTTTCACTAAGTGAAATAGAGAATGGTGTAGTATTGTCATAACTCACCTGTTCAGCCAGTGGAACTCCTGTACAGGAGTCTTCAAGAGTACCAAGACGACCTTGCAGCAGAGAATTCTACCCAGGTGTATCAACTTTATAAAGACCAGGAACAGGAACGGTTAAGTAAGTACACTTGACAGCTTACAGTCAGTATAACAAAAATGAATGTGTCAGTTTAAATATTTCCAGAGTTAAGAGTTTAATTAGAATACTTTTTATTGAACTATGGTGGCATGTTTCGGTCTTCAACATAAATTTTATTCATGTCAGTTATTTGGAAACAGAGTTGTTGTTTCCCAATTAAATGTGTACAAAACATATTTCTACAGTTCAGAAGAGGTTTTGTTTTTCCTTCCATTACTCGCTAATCTTATACTATAAAAATTTGTGATTAGTCGTTGTCTTCAACCAATTTGTCGTCAAAAAATGACGTCATCAACAATGCCAACAGATATTTGTTTGCACGGCATTGTTGTGTTCCACAACAATGCCGAGTAAACAAATATCTGTTGGCATTGTTGATGACGTCATTTTTTGACGACAAATTGGTTGAAGACAACGACTAATCACAAATTTTTATAGTA